TCATCTTCAGTGGACCAGTGATACATGTTGAAGTATTGAATCATCTTCAGTGGACCGGTGATACATGTTGATGTATTGAATCATCTTCAGTGGACCAGTGATACATGCTGAAGTATTGAATCATCTTCGGTGGTCCAGTGATACATGTTGATGTATTGAATCATCTTCGGTGGTCCAGTGATACATGTTGATGTATTGAATCATCTTCAGTGGACCAGTGATACATGTTGATGTGTTGAATCATCTTCAGTGGACCAGTGATACATGTTGATCTTGCCATTTATGGTGACTTTGATACAAGTTTTTAAAGATGTTAAGCCACATCTTGATGATGAACTTAGGCTGAATGATTAATAATTTGCATTTCAAGCTACATGATGGATCATCCAGTATGTGTTGTACATAAAAATAACCAGAATTGTCATGGAGATTATTTTATAACAGTGGTTTTTGCCATAACTAAAATATAAATTCCAATTTATCATTTCATGTAGTGGTTGCACAACAGAATAGATATATATGTAGGGAAATTGTGAGATTAATGTGGTTGTGCAACAGAACAAATATATGTAATACAGTTATGGAGGATTACATATATAATATATAGTGTCTCCAATACAATTATGGAGGAGTGCATATATAATATATAGTGTCTCCAATAGAATTATGGAGGATTACATATATATAATATATAGTGTCTCCAATAGAATTATGGAGGATTACATAAATAATATATAGTATCTCCAATAGAATTATGGAGGATTACATATATAATATATAGTGTCTCCAATACAATTATGGAGGATTACATATATAATATATAGTGTCTCCAATACAATTATGGAGGATTACATATATAATATATAGTGTCTCCAATACAATTATGGAGGAGTACATATATAATATATAGTGTCTCCAATACAATTATGGAGGATTACATATATAATATATAGTGTCTCCAATAGAATTATGGAGGAAATTGTGAGATTAATGATTCTTCTTTATTGAAATACAATAAAAAGGAAAGGATATCTATAATTAGTGTTGTTTTTTTTAAAGTAATTTTGATAATGTTTGTTTAGGAATGGGAAGAGAACTGGAAAGTCTTATTATGGAAAACAGCGAACTACTGGCTACAAAGTATGTCAAAACATAATTTGTTATTCTTTGTTGTAAATATACTTTTTTAACCTGCATTCTCAGGTGGGTGAAGGTTTATCTTTAGTCCAAGGGTGTACAATATTTCATTTGTTCTTCTCTTTATAAAAAAACCATCATGTTACAGTTCAGAATGACTTCAGTCACAGTCAAACTTAAAACTACCAAGTAAGATTTCTTACAGTGGATCATACTTCACTCATATGAGAAATGACTGCGAGAAGGTTAAACAATTAGTGATAAGAGTATGACATGCACTTCAGATTCAGTGAAATTTTACATTTTTAGTCTTCGTGTTAGGATGTATTTCACTTAATCAGTGGTTTGTGATGAAAGTACTACTAAGATATCTCGAGCAGATCACTTCACATTTGCTGGAATCCTTCTTGTCAAGGTGACTTTAGAAAGGGTGACAACTGGGTTGTATGATGTTGAAAAGTAGTTCTGAAATCTTCATGGTGTAAAATTGGATTTTGAGTGAATAAATTTACAATGGTGACCAGTGTTCAACCTAGTTGGACATGTTGGTGTCCAGATGACTTAGAAAATTGATGTTAAGATTAGCACTCAGCCTAGCTAGACATGTTGGTGTTCAATTGACTTAGGAAATTTGTGTTAAGATTTGATTGAATTAACTCATATTGGTCCTAAGGGACTAGCGCACAGCCTAGCTGGACATGTTGGAGTTCAATTGACTTAGGAAATTTGTGTTAAGATTTGATTAACTGATATTGGTATTAAAGGAGTGTTACTTGACCGAGTTGGATATGCTGGTGTCCAGCTATCTTGAGAAAAGCTGTGTTAAGATTTGATTAACTGATATTGATATTAAAGGAGTGTTACTTGACCGAGTTGGATATGCTGGTGTCCAGTTATCTTGGGAAAAGCTGTGTTAAGATTTGATTAACTGATATTGGTATTAAAGGAGTGTTACTTGACCTAGTTGGATATACTGGTGTCCAGCTATCTTGGGAAAAGCTGTGTTAAGATTTGATTAACTGATATTGGTATTAAAGGAGTGTTATTTGACCTAGTTGGATATACTGGTGTCCAGCTATCTTGGGAAAAGCTGTGTTAAGGTTTGATTAACTGATATTGGTATTAAAGGAGTGTTATTTGACCTAGTTGGATATACTGGTGTCCAGCTATCTTGGGAAAAGCTGTGTTAAGATTTGATTAACTGATGATGGTCTTAAAGGAGTAGTGCTTAACATAGGTGCAGCTGAATTAATGGAAGAGTGGTATGATTTTCTTGCATGCTTTGGGAGAGAGATGTCAAGAAGCAACATTAATAATTATAAAAATGTTGACTGAAGGCTCCACTTGTAAGGGTAGCTGATGATTTATATGATCCCCTGGGAAAATAGTTCAGAAAGGTTTAAAACAATATGAAAAGGTGTTAAAATTAACATGTGAAAGAGTCAAAGCTGAAGTAAAAAGGGGTTAAACCTATGTGAGAAGGGGAGTAAAGGCTGAATAGGAAATGATTAAAAAGGCAGGAAGACAGGTGTGATGAATAAGTATTTCAATTAACCAGATGAAGGGTTGAAGCTGAGATGTGAAAAGTATATCTCTTTCTACAAAGTTTTTTATGGAATATATTTGTCTGGTGTGTAGAAGTGGACAGTATTTTGACACCTTTGATGTACTGTATATGTCTGGTCTGTAGGAGTGTTCATTTGTTTAAAAATATAAGGACTTGGCTGCAGTGTTGTTTAGCAGTTGTACTGATCCCAATATTATGGTATGGCTTGTGCTTATTAGTATATATTTTGGGAAAATTTTTAAAGGAATTTTAGTATTATAATATCTTTGAATTCTATTATTCTTTGGCATTTGATGTTAGAACCTCTGCAAGAATAGGAGTCTTTGCATCTAAATTTGTTTTGCTTTTCTTTACATGCATCTAGTTTAGAATGAAATTATTATATAGCTAAAGAATGTTTATTACTGAGTATTTTCATGATCTTTCTGAATTCATTATTGCCCTCCTCGAATGAATGAGAAGGATTTTATCACTTGCTGTTACTTATTTTAAAGGATAATTTTATAAATTTGGCTTCTTATGCAACGTCTCTTACTTATGTTAAAGGATTGTTCTATAAGTTGGACTTCTTATGCAACTTCTGTTACTTATGTTAAAGGATCATTTTATAAATTTGGCTTCTTATGCAATGTCTCTTACTTGTGTTAAAGGATTGTTCTATAAGTTCGACTTCTTATGCAACGTCTCTTACTTGTGTTAAAGGATTGTTGTATAAGTTTGACTTCTTATGCAACTTCTGCTACTTATGTTAAAGGATCATTTTATAAATATGGATTCTTATGCAACTTTTCTTACTTATGTTAAAGGATTGTTCTATAAGTTTGACTTCTTATGCAACTTCTGTTACTTATGTTAAAGGATCATTTTATAAATATGGATTCTTATGCAACTTCTCTCTTACTTATGTTAAAGGATTGTTCCATAAATATGGATTCTTATATAAGTTATGTTGCTAAAATTAAAGGATCAATTTATGAAGTTGGATTATTATGCAGCTTGTGTTACTGACTTCAGAGGATTATTCTATAAATGTGGATTCTTGTGATGTAAAAATCATTATAATATTTTTCTCAACAGGAATGCACTGAATATTGTCAAGGATGATTTGATTTCAAAAGTTGATGAACTGACTGGGTGAGTAAACAAAATGTCTCAAGTGGTGTTAAAAGTTAATAGATATTAATGTGTTTTTAATCCTTACTCTTAATTCTGACTTAAAAATAATATTCATAATAATTATGCTTCTCTTACTTAATCTATTTCACACCATAACAGTCGTTCTACCTGCAGTTGATGGTATAAACAGTGCCTTGACAACTACTATGTCTGTTGTATCCTGGAACTGGATATAGCAGATATAGTATGTTTGACTGTTACGTATATTCTTCATTATTTCACCCCATCCTAGAACTATATGAAACTTTTACATACCTGTATAATCACAACTCACAAGAAATTAGGCTAATTACATTTTGATATGCTTTTTAAAATTTGAAGAAAAAACACAGAGATACGTTCAACATTGATGAAACTTGTTTATTACAAATATCATTAGTAAACAATACCAATCCAGTTGATTAATTCATGTACAAATAAAGAAAAAGTTAATGAAAAATGTCAGTATTAGGCTGCACAAAAATCATTACAAAAATAGGTTATTAAGATGAACAAGTTTAACAAAATGAGATTTTTGTAGCTGGTAGGTCCTCTTCTATTGTTTAACTTCTCAGCATCTGTTTTCCATACTGCTGATGACATTTTGGATGACTTGTGGGAAAGTACAGTCCACTCCTGAATGAGGGTAGCTGTGAGCTCCTGGACAGTTGTAGGAGCAGTTTGTATGTCTTTAAATGCACTCCCTAGAAAGTGTTACACATGCTCAATCAGATTTCTGTTCAGTGATGTAGCAGGCCAGTCAAATACCTCTGTTATTTCTTCATCCTGAAAAAATTGCTGCATGATCCAAGATGTGTGATGGCAGGCATTATCCTGCTGATACTTGAACTCATCTTGGACAGCACCAGCAAAAGGGCAAATAATGGGAAGCAGGAACTCTTATACATAACGTCTTGTGGCCAAGGATCCTGCATCCACTATATATATAGAGGTCTATACAACCCTGCATGCAAATGTCATCCCAGACCAAGAATGAGCCACCCCCAAAGGCATCATGGTAAAAATTGTTAGAGGCTGAATATTGCCATTCTTTGTATCTCCAGACCATCATACATTGATCACACAAAACCTTCTCTTACCTATGAACATTACAGGAGTCCATTGCTGAAGGGTCCAGGTTACATGTTCCTGGGCAAATGCCGGCTAGACTTTTTGGTGCCTTGGGGTTACTGCAGGAGCTCTGACTGGTATCCTGGAGCCTGTTCCTGACTGTTGAGCATGATGCCCCTAGTGCTGCTAGTGTGGTTTTTAAGGACTAAATTATGTAGATATCGGACATCTTCTATACCTGTAGCCCTTCTATGGCCATGGCTTGGCTTTCTGGTGTGTTCTTCTGCAGCCTGGTATCTGCACCACAATTTACTGAAATTGTGATACCCTCATGACCTATGCCACCTTAGTCTGGGTGCAGCCCTACTGAAGCAGTGTGATGGCTTTGTAAACTGCAGTTTCAATTAATTGGTTTCTAATAGTTTGCACACTTTACAAAAGTCAATTCCAGCAAAACATTCATGAAACTAGTATTCTTTCAAACAGTAAACATCTTTCTTAATCAATGAAAACTAGCCTTTTGCTTTGAACAATTTGTATCACTTCTTATAAAGGCCTATTGCATAAGAAATCATTGGTGCATAAACTTGAAAAGAATTGATAACCTCAAAGTATACAAATTTATACAAATCTCTATTTTTTAATTTACGTGAATAATGTGTGTATGGAGTATTCGTTTTCAAATACTTTGACATAATATTTGTATTCGCTGAATGATTTAGTGAATATTTAATATTGTAAGAGTGAATGTAAACTTTTGTACTCATCAAATTTCTAGACTGTTATTACTACATTTGTAGCACACTAATTTCAGTATAAGAAGTTTGTACTGAAAAAATTAACACATTTTTGTACAGGAAACAACATAATATAATACATCATTTGATAGATGAAAACCTTGGTTTTGTATTGGACATAAATAATATAATATTGAACATCAGAAAGAACTATTGACAAATCCTGAAAGAGGTGATATGACAGTTGGGTGTGGCAAGAGCAGTCTGATTTTGTATTTGATGGCTATGTAACCAAACAAAATTGAAGGATATAACAATTATGCTTTGCCTGAGCGATGACAATATTATAATGATTAATGTACATTAAATTTCATACTTCTTGAAGGAGTGGTAAATAAATTAGAGAAGAGTGGATGTCTAGAAAAAAAATCGCATAACTCGCTCTAGGGGAAATTTAGGATTTTTTTTCAAATATTACATTATAAAATTAAGAACTTAAAGATTATATAGTATTAATATATGGATTATTAACTAAATTTTTATGCTATATTATTTGGTATAAAATGAACAAAAAGTAGTTTAATTACATTTTGAATGTAACTTACTAAAAACATCATGATGTGCAGTAAAGGATGCCCCTGGTGAGAGAGTTAAATCAGGTCATTACTCTCCAACCACCTTAAACATTATAGTATTACAGTCAACATCGGTGGTTGGAGAGTAATGACCTGATTTAACTCTCTCACCATGGGCATCCTTTACTGCACATCATAGATCAGGTCATTACTCTCCAACCACCTTAAACATTATAGTATTACAGTCAACATCATGATGTGCAGTAAAGGATGCCCATGGTGAGAGAGTTAAATCAGGTCATTACTCTCCAACCACCTTAAACATTATAGTATTACAGTCAACATCATGATGTGCATTAAAGGATGTCCATGGTGAGAGAGTTAAATCAGGTGATTACTCTCCAACCACCTTAAACATTATAGTATTACAGTAAACATCATGATTTTTTATTATATTTCTGCTAAGATATACATATTAAATATATCTGGATTTATACATATGTATTATTTCAAAGAAACTACAGTAAAGAATAGGAATGCTTTTCTCCATTCTTTATGATACACAATTCAGAATAAATCTGTTAGAGACCCAGAAAAAAGTTTTCCACTGTCATCTAGTGAGCAATGATTGTAATACTTGATAACATGCAAATAAATTTGGGCAAATAATTAAAAATATAATGTGAAAGAGTTTGTCCTAATTAACTTGGTTAAGTATTTTTCGAAACATTGAAGGTGCCTTATCTAGGACAGGTCATGGAATGGGTTAAAAATTGTTTGTGTTCTGGGTAGTTATATATGGTGAGTTGTTTTAGTATATTGAAACTTGGTAAAGACTTGCATATTAAGTTATTCTGTGGAAAACAAACATACATATCATAGTAATATAAGTAATCTGTTCACATGTAAATTCTTAACCTTTGTATTCAGGGTAGATACAAAGTTGGAAGGAACCAGTGGGGGTGAACCTTGGTGTATAATACAGCTGAACCTTTGTATTTAGAGTTGGTATAAAGGAACACTGTAGGGTGAACCTTGGTGTATAATACAGCTGAACCTTTGTATTTATGGTTGGTATAAAGGAACACTGTAGGGTGAACCTTGGTGTATTATACAGCTGAACCTTTGTATTTATGTTTGATATAAAGGAACACTGTAGGGGGAACCTTGGTGTATAATACAGCTGAACCTTTGTATTTATGGTTGGTATAAAAGAACACTGTAGGGTGAACCTTGGTGTATAATACAGCTGAACCTTTGTATTTATGGTTGGTATAAAGGAACACTGTAGGGTGAACCTTGGTGTATAATACAGCTGAACCTTTGTATTCAGAGTTGGTATAAAGGAACACTGTAGG